AGCAGGATTTGTCCCTACGTTTGTAAACATACTGACTTCCTTGGTGGATTGAATTCTGTGTGAGGATGGGCACAAGTTAGGAGGTACCAGGCTGGACATGGGATGACTAAAAGAAATCAAGGGAAGAACTTTCCTTGGTCTGAAGACACCTCCCAAGAACCATGCCATCCTTCTGGACCTAATTTCTTTACCTTACCCCCATAGTGTTTGTGGGGCACCATGACATTCTGAGCTGAAAACATCGGCAAACTGAGCAGGTAACAGATCCCACAGGGGCCATGTGAAACACCTGGCTAAATGTGGGCCAGCTTCACTGCAAGGTTGCAAGAAGGTACATTTGGGATGCATCACAAGTGCTGGAGAAAGGAGAATGTCAAAGGAGAGTGGGCTCATAGTGTTTCCTTAACACCTAGGGCACATGCAGAACTACACAGAAATGCCACATTTGGCATGAAGGGCATTCCTGTTTTACTAGTTCATCCTCAACAGCATATTTCTAGTTCTGCATGCATGAAGTAGAAAGGACAGGTTTAAGTCACGTTTTCCATCCCCATATGCCCTTTGTATCCTCTCACCAACCTGTTCTCATGCAAGCCACGTTCAGCAGCCACCACTCTGGGATCCGTGGCAGAAGCAGAAGAACTTTGTCCCCACACTGCAGACTACAGGCACCAGAGAGTACATTGGCTGCTTTCCTGGACAGCAATCCCAGCTCCTCAAAGCTCCACTTCACCTCTTCTCCATTGCCATCTACCCACCATAATGCGGGGTTCTTAGGCTTTTTTCCTTCCTATAGAATGAGAGGGTACAGTGCAAATGCTTTGCTTAAGGAACATACCACCTTTACCTTAATTAAGTCTGAGGAAACAAAGCATTTGGCACTAATTCAGTGCTGGAGGAATCCGGGGATGAAGCTGAAATTTGTCACTGGCTCCAAATGAGGCTCTCCTTCAGGAAAAGCTGCCTACAAATATCATGCTAGAAATTCCTTTCCTGAGCTCATGTTGTTTCCCTCTGCAGAGGCTGTCCAGCCTTCTGTTCCTGGCCACAAAAAAAGCTGCCAATGGACACAGCTGCAGCTGAGCTGTGCCTCAGTTTTACAAACTCTCTGAGCTCATTTCCAATTTATTCTTGAATTGGGCTTATTTGTCGCTTCTGAAAATTAGATCTGAGGTTCAAAACCGCAGTGTGATCTCGAATCAACATCCCTCATAACTAACAGATGTGTGAAAAATGAAATGTATGCACACAACGTACTCTTAAGGGCACTGATGCCTTTAGCAGTGACATTGTGTAAGTCACTTCCTGAGCAAAGAAAACTTCATGGAGGCAGCAAGAACATGGTATCTTGCTATCTGTTTGGTGGCAGAATAACACTAAGGTTCATCTTCAGGGAGAAGAGTTTAGTTGTGTACTTCAGATGGCAAAACTCTTCAGGTGTTCATTCCTTGCTTAGTTTGCAGCCTGCCAAAATCCATTCCCCCTGCAAATGGAGCAAATGCTTGCCTTGTGTCAGACAGGAGATACCTCTGCTCTGCTTCTGCTGCCAGGTGGACACCACTGTATTCAGCCCCTCATCATAAAGAACCTGTGGACTGCATCCACAGAGACTAGGACAATATAGTAAGAAGATAGGTCATACACCTACACTTCACCTCTTTTTTTTTTTTTTATTCCCCATCCTTGCTTAGAACTTGTGCCTGTTTGGGCACTCAGAGTGTTTTGCTTTTGTGGACTGATAGCTCTGATAGCTCCTGATGCAAAGATTTCACGACTGTAAAAAGAACGGGGAGGTTTGGCAATACACCGTGTTACTTATTTTGCTGGCAAGCAGTGAGATGTGCGGGGGCTGCGTGCTTTGCCTTGCACACACAGGCGGGGTGCACGTCACAGCTGGTAGGGGAGCCAGCACAAGGCTCCAAGTGCTCCAGTTGGTCTTGTCCTTAAGGCACAAATTTACTCAGGGTCAGTGTCACCAGGGTTACTGATTAAAGGAACACTTGGGCCCACAAACAAGGCAGCATGTGGCCTGAGAGGTTTACAGGTTCAAACTACATGAGATGGTCATGGTATTGTAACCAGAGCACAACTGCAGCAGCATGCTGGATGGATGTGCCTGGCAGCTCTCAGCTTTTCAGCAGCAGAGCAGACAAGTAGTGTTACCTTTTCTACTTCAGTCCATCTGTCTAGCACATCGCTTGCAAAGTTGAAGTACTCTGGCACCTGTGGTCTGTACTGCTGTTTCATGAGTTCGTAACTAAATGGGGTTTGAGCTGGGGAGCTCTGGCTGCAAAGCTGGCGAGATCTTCTCAGGGAAGCATGCAGGGACACGATGCTCAGGGCCTTCAGTAGACACCGCATGGCAGCAGCAGCTCAAGCAGCCTCCAAGAAATGCTGCAGATACAAACCTGGTGTTAGCTATGTAGTTTCAAAACGGCATTTACAAAAAGCAGTGGAATGAGCTGAAATAACAATAGCTGGTATCTGGAATACCGGGAGAGGACAGCTCTGATTCTGCTGCTGGGTCCCTGCCTTCCACAGACCATCACACAGCTGCGATCCCCACCGTGCACCCAACTTGCCATGCTCAGGACGCCCAGCAGGGCACTATGCCCATAAGTCACACCCTTTCCCTCCCTGCAGCTCCCACCCAGCTGCTAGACAGCACTGCTGTTACATAGCAGGGACACTGAAAGCACCTGAACTGTGGCTGCTGGAAATGAAAGGACTGCTGCTGACTGAGAACACTTAAGTAGCAGCGTGGAACTAAGACGGTGCATAGAAAACCAACAGTCCTGTGTGAGTTACTGGCTGACTGCAGTGTTACTTGCTATAAAGGCATCTGCAGTTTACCCTATTAGCACTGGTGTTATGTGCTGTATGAGATGGGGAAAGTTTAAAAGGACCCGAGATAAGGGATTCAAAATGCGGAGCTGTGTTTCTCTACAGTCAGCTTAGCAGGAGGGCAGAAAACTCAACAATCATAATTTTCATGCATTTATTTACAAAATAATACAAACACTGATAGCTCCTTGCTAAATTAATAATCATCCAGCTGTAAACCCACATGATTTCAGTGAATTAATGAAGCAAAGGGACAATTTTTGATCTGTAACATTCAATCTGTTTATGAAAGACAGGAGAGAAACCCAATGAGATGAAAGGTGTGGAGAGGCAAGAACAGGGAATACAGACAGACAAGAGGCATACCTGTCTTGTTCCAGTCTTGGACCGGAAAGCGTCCTGTCCAGCAGCAGCACAGAGACTGTTACCTCACCTCTCAGTCTCTCAGCCCTCCAACAGCTGAGATGCACCTCAGCTTTGGCTGCTTGCACAAATCCAAGATTTTGGTTGCACAGCTCTTCTAGCACTGCTGCTGTGCCCAGTGACCGCTGTCTGTGTCTGTTCCGCGTACTTTGGACTCACACAAGGGGCAGCCAGGTCCCATCTGGAGAGAAGAGTTGACATGTTTCTGCAGAGTTCAGAGTGGAAGCAGAAAGTGAGGTGAAAATCTCTCCTGTTTCCTTCCAATTCCCTGCTCCGACCCCTGGCCCCAGAAAAGCACAGCCTTAGGACCTTGCTTGCTGCAGATAACTCCAGCTTGTTATACTCTGTTTGGGGCAGCACAGGGAACAACAGACCATAACCACAGCAGTGCAGCTGTGTCTGTCAACTCCTGGGGCGCTGCAGCTGGCACAGCATTCTGTAAGCACTCTGCCTCGTGGCCATGGCATTACTATGCTCTTTTTGCCATCAGCCCATGATGAAAGGGCCGCATTCGCCAGGGAGCTGGGGACATGGCTAACTGGCTAGCCTTAATTTGGGGCACCAAGATTTACTCCTAAGGGTTTGGCTGTCAGAGTTCCTCCTGCTCCATTTCTACCCTAAAGCTGCAGCTCCAAGGTCAGCAGAGAGATTGCTAACAGCCATCTGTATCTTTGAAGCCAAGAAGCTCCACATGCTGATCAGAAAAGGTGACACCGCAGCTTTTCTGCAGGCAGGATCTGAATGTTTGCCATGTTGCCCCTGGGGGTTCAGCTCATGTCTGTTGGTGACAAGCAGACACTGAAAAGGAGATGCTAACCAGCTCCTGCAGTGTTCATTTCCACTGAAAAAATGTTCCCCCAAATAGTGAATCTGCTCTCCACCTCACAGCAAAGGGAGACCTGCATTCTGCAGGAGGACATTGTAAAAAGCTTGTTGGAACACAGGCAACAAAATCCTACCAGAAAGTGAATGAACAGCCTGAAAGGGATTCCCTAGCCAGGTCACAATGCTGCAGAGGAGGGTGACAGCAACTAGTTTGTGATTCGCATCAGTAAATTTGCCAGGAGTGTGCAGGCAAAATTTCCAGCTCAGGAAGCAAACCTCATCCTGAGGAGGAATGTTTCTCCCATAACAGCCTGCTTGTATTACTGTTTTGTTAGGGCATAAAGCTGATTTCCAGAGCACGAGTGAATGTTTCCAAACCCCTCAGCACTCCTCACCACAAAGGTACTCTGGTTATGTCTGGGTGATTAATTGCATTCCCCTGGCTCAGCTCATAAGTGCGCAGTACCTTTCCCTCACAGTCAGACACAGCCTGCACAGCTCCACAGACCACTGCCATAAACCTTGAGACCTCAGAGGTTCAGTGACTTCAGAGCTTCATTTGTACATGTATGGGTTGGGAGAGGAACTCAGGGAGAGAAGGCCATCAGGGTTCTGGTGGACGAAGAGCTGGACGTGAGGCAGCAGCGTGCGCTCACAGCCCCGAAGGCCGACTGCATCCTGGGCTGCAGCAGCAGAGGGGGGCGGCGGGCAGCGAGGGGATTGTCCCCCTCTGCTCTGCCCTCGGAGCCCCCAGCTGCAGTGCTGCGTCCAGGCCTGGGGCCCGGCACAGCAAGGGGGGGAGCTGTTGCAGCGGGGCCAGGGCAGGCGATGAAGATGCTCGGAGCTTGGAGCAGCTCTGCTGTGCAGATAGGCTGAGGAGCCAGGGTGTGCAGCATGGAGAGGAGAAGGCTGCAGGGAGACCTCATTGCGGGCTTAAAGGGACTTAAAGGGAGCTTATGAACAGGAAGGGGACCAACTTTTTACAGCAGCAGACAGTGAGAGGACAAGGGAAATGGTGATTTGAAGAAGTAAATACGCAATATATTTTGGCAGCATATCCTTATGATGTACGATGTAGATGTTGAATTGTTGTATAATATGATTAATTCTTGCTTGCAAAACTGTACTAGCTTTTAGATGTGAGTAGTTAATTACGGGCATAGCGTTATAGACTAGAAAGCATTTTGTAAGGCTGTTCTGCTTTAGCCACGGATCTCCAGCAAAAGAAACACAATAATGAAAAGGCACAATCAGGCTTATCAAACATCAAAGAAGATAGGGCTGAAATGCTCCATTCTGGGGGAAGCTTAGAATGCAACATGTGGGTGTTAAGATACTCCCGCTATCCTCCTTATCTTCCTATTTCCCAGTAGATCACTGAAAGACAGGATACAATCTCTATCCCAGAACTAATAGATGTGCGGACAATAATGGCTGCGTAGGCAAATGTTACGATTTTGGTACCTGTAAATTGCTTGTAATAGATGTTCTCCTACTGAACACGCGTCAATGAAGAGAGTTCATCTAGAGGGCAAGCGGCAAAGAACATCGGAAGAAACAACCGACTGGGCTGTCATGGAGCTGAACGGACACTGGATGGCAGCAGAGATCGTGGAATAGAGGGCTGAAACCCTTGTAAGTCACTACCGGAGACAGGCGCCTATCTGTTCATTATCTCGTGAAGGAATGACGAATATGTACTATCTGTGAACATATAAGGAACTTCTAAACATGTAATCTTAAAAGCTCTTATGGTGGAATTAACCCCCAGTGCTTCCTGGTGCAGCTAAAAAAGAATACCTGCTTAACAGTGTTGGAAATATCCAAATAATTTTTGTCAGGACGGTATAAGAGCAGATTTTATTCGCGATTGCAATGGCGGTCATCCAACAAGCACAAGCACACCTATGGACACATCGTGACAGCCTTTATACCCTGTTTGCTTCCCCTTGCCTCCCCCCCTCCCTTGTTTCCCCACTGGCTGGGTACTCCAGGTTCACAATCTTACAGAAGGTTTACATTTGCTATTTACTTGTTAATTTATTTGTTACCTGGTGTCAGTCAGCAGCCATCCTGTTGTTTCCAAGATGTCTTCTCAGTGCTCTCCTTGCCGTATTGATATGGTGATTTTCTTTAAAGTCTTCGTTAAACAAAGAGCACTGGGGATGATGCCAGGCCTTCCGATGTCTCTTCTGGCTCTTCCTCAGGAAGGCCATCACTTGTTCTCTGGTTTGCTCTCGTGCAGGATATTCTTGCAGTGTGTGACAAAATATACAGATATACACCTATATACAGAGTGCGCGTTCCTGGGAAGGTTCGTCCAGAGGATAAGTGCTGTAAACTATCAGAGATCTTCCCCAAGTTAAGTAGAAGGACTCCCAAGAATTACAATGATAGCGGAGATCATGAAATAAAAAAATTATCCAATTCTAATGCAGAAACAACATTTGATTCCCACAACAGTAAGAAAACTTTGCTGGATTGAAATGGATTGAAACTAAAAGAGGGGAAATTTAGGTGAGATGTTAGAAGAAAATCCTTCCCTCAGAGGGCAGAGAGGTGCTGGCATTGCTGCCCAGAGCTGTGGGTCCCCATCCCTGGGGGCTCAGAGCCACGGCTGAGCCTGGGGCAGCTGGAGTTGGGGGACAGGGTGGGGCTGTGAGGGCCATTCCAACCCAACGTGCTGAGATTCTGGGGTATGATTTGTGACCAATATCCCACTAATACTGTGACAAATCCCACTGATAGTTGGCAATTGCTGTAGGGTTAAATGAGTCCTGAAGGCTTGCCAGGAACCAAGTTTTATGTAAGACACAAATGACACCTCCTGTTGTAAATTGTAAAGAATCCCACCAATTTACACCAGTGTACACACTTTCCCCTTCTGCAGCCCAGCTGGACTCTGATTGCCAGCAGCACAACAGCCATGCTCCCAGCAAGGCCTCCTGTGCCATCACGCCTCGCACTGTGTTCCCCACATTGCACACTGCGCTCTGGAGCCGCTCAGCAGCAGGCAGCCACGCGAAGTGTGGGTCTTTGTTCTGGCACTGCAGCCTTTGCCCCTGGAATGGAATTTCTGAGGACAGAAGTGATGAGGACAGGAGGCGGTGGTGCTGGGTCACAGCCTGGCTGCCTTGCAGTGACACAGGCTGGATGCCATGTCACAAACCCAAGATAAGCTTTACACACACACGCTATCCATACTCATTATATTTCTTAGAAGCAATTAACATTTTCCAGGTACTCATTAATGCACGGTAATGTCACATGGTAGAGGGTAGAGCCCTTTGGAGGCCGATCAGCCCTTCCTTCATCCATCTCTTTGCGACTCTCGGCCGCCTTCCTTCTTGCTTTTGCTAAGCCGGTTCCCCCCATAGGTCGTCTTTGCTCCCGTAGCATCAAGCAATTTGCTTGCAAAGTCCTCGCACGCACCAAGTAGATTACGGAGACGTCCACCGAGCCTCAACCGAGCAGACAAAGCGGGCTCTGCTAACGAAAGCAAGTGCCGCGCACCCAGCGCAAGGAGCCCGCACCCAGCCCCGGGAGGGAGCGCAGGGACAGGCGGCGCCGAGCTCACGCACAGCGGGCGGCGCTGAGGGCGGCGCTGAGGGCGGCGCTGAGGGCGGCGCTGAGGGCGGCGCTGAGGGCGGCGCTGAGGGCGGCCGTGTGACGCCATCGGGGCGCGCGGTGGCGGGGTTCTCCATGGCCGCGCCGGAGGCGGCAGCACGGAAGCGGCGGCTGAAGGGGCATTTCGCGGCTCGCGCTAAGCGGCCCCGCGGCGGCGGCGGGCGGCAGCTGGAGGCCGGCATGCGCGGCATCCTCATCACCTGCAACATGAACGAGCGCAAGTGCGTGGGGGAGGCCTACAGCCTGCTGGGCGAGTACGGGGACCTGCTGTACGGCCCCGAGCAGGTGAGTGCGTGCGTCCGTCCTGAGGCGGGGCCGGGGGGAGGGCGGCCACGCGGTCTCCGCTCCGCGCCTTGACGCGGATCGCCGGCGCTGAGCGGCGTTCTGGCCGGCCCGCGGTACCGCCTGGCAGCTCCGCTCGGCGCTCACCGCGCGGGGCGAACCGTGTGCCCGCAGCTCTCGGAGCCCGCGGAGCGCCTGTCGGGGAGCGAGAGGGAGGAGGAGCGGGAGGAGGAGGACGACGACGACGACGCGGAGGCAGCGCTGAAGAAGGAGGTCGGACAGATCCGCGCCTGCACCGAGCGGCAGCTGCGGCGCTTCCAGTCAGTGGAGAGCGGCGCCAACAACGTCGTCTTCATCCGCACCCGCGGCATCGGTGGGTGTGCCGCGCCGTGCCGCGCCACACAGGGCCGGGGCTTCTCCTGGGGCCCGGGCAGCCCAGAAGGCCGGCGGCATCCTGTGCTGTATCAGCAGTAGGCAGCCAGCAGGACGAGGAGGTGACCGTTCCTCTGTTCTCAGCCCTGCGGAGGCCACGCCTCGAGAGCTGCGTTCGGTGTTGGGCTCCTCACTGTGAGAAAGATGTCGAGGCCCTGGGGTGCGTTCAGAAAAGGGCAGTGGGATCTGCGAGTGGTCTGGAGAATGAGTCTCATAGGGAGCAGCTGAGGGAATGGGATGGTTCAGCCAAGAAGAGAAGTCCCGCAGGAGGCCTTACTGCGCTCTACAACTGCTGAAAGGAGGTTGTGGAGGGTGGGGGGTGGACCTCTGTGCTCAGCTAACAGCAATGGGATGAGAGGGAATGTTCAGGTTGAGGATTAGGAACAATCTTTTCTCCAAAAGTGTGGTCAGGCCCTGGAATAGGCTGCCCAGTGAGGTGGTTGAGTTGCCATCCTTGCAGGCGATCAAGAGCAGGGGAGATGTGGCAATGAGGGATGTGGTTGGTGGATAAATTTTGGTGGTAGGTGGACAGTTGGGTGAGGTGATCTTAGAGGTTTCTTCTGGCTGTAATGATTCTACCATTTCCCATTGTCCTTCCCACTGGTTTTGCAATTAGCGGAGTTTCTGAAGGCAGAGGAATCGGCCTTGACAGAATGATCCACAGCTACCCAATTTTGGTGCATGGAAAGAATTCTCAGAAAAGGGTTTGAGGCTGAGCGCTGTGCAGCTAAGCGCGCGTTTCCCCAGCTTATACCTTTGGGGGAGGAACAAGGGAGAAGATCCTTCAAATTGATTCTCACACCTAGTTGTTTCCTTGTAGAACCTGAGAACCTGGTGCACCATATATTAAAGGACATTCATACCACTAAAAAGAAGAAAACCAGAGTAATTCTGCGCATGCTGCCCATTTCTGGAACTTGCAAGGCTTTTCTGGAAGATATGAAAAAATACACAGAAACGTTTTTTGAGCCTTGGTTTAAAGCCCCCAATAAGAGTACTTTCCAGATCGTTTACAAAGCTCGTAATAACAGTCACATGAATAGAGAAGAAGTAATTAAGGAGCTGGCAGGTATGTATAGATCACATACAGAGCTGAACCTAAGTACACAAGCGGCACACGGCTGCATGTGTAACAGGCTAGGCTGTTTGAAGAAAAGTGCTGTAAACAAGGAGGCATATTTGTTGCTTAACACCTGTATGTTGGCTTACAAAAATGTCTCTAAGGCTCTGAAAAGAGCTTGACATCAGTGTTTCCTGTTGATGTCTCAAGAGATGACAAAGCAGAACAGCATGCAGTAGTGAATTCTATTTGGTGTGTCAGTTATACGTGGTTTGAAATGACTACATCAAGTTGTTTGAATGCTATACTGAAATACACACATTCCTATTTCCATTTAATGTGGAACTTGAAAAACAGCTCTGCAACAAGTTGCATACTTTGGCGTCTTGTTTCTTGCTAGTTACAATGGGATAATTTAGTTACTGTAGTCCTGGTAGTATTTCTTAAGAATCCTAGTCTGTTCTGCTGTTTTACACAATTGCAGTAACTAATGATTGGTCACAAGTAGAGGGTTGTTATCTCCTCTGACTTGTGTTCCATTCAGGAGAGTAAACTGATGCTCTGAAACTGTTTTCCCGAGGTTTTTTAAACTATATTTTGTTTTACAGGAATTGTGGGCAGCCTTAATCCAGAAAACAAAGTTGATCTCAATAATCCACAACATACAGTTGTGGTGGAAATAATAAAGAATGTTTGTTGCTTGAGTGTGGTGAGAGACTATGTTCTATTCAGAAAATACAATCTACAGGAGGTGGTGAAGAGCAACAAAGAAGACATGCAACAAAACCCATCAAATGTGTCTGAAGAACAGAACTCAACAGCCGTAAAACCAGAAACCATGGAAGAGAACTTGAAGGAAGTAATACAAGAACAAGAGTGATGGTGCAATGGGAGCTGAACTCCATGGGAATTATATGCAAGCAGTGTAGGAAATGTGGTAGAAAAGAAAGATGGACACAATAGAAATAAACCTATAAAAATATTGCCTGAGAATTCAGAAAGGAAAAGTGGGTTTTGTTTTGGAATCTTGCTTTTAAAATTCATATGGAAGAATTGTAATGGTTGCTGCTGGTGGAGCTGACGCTGCTGTGGGTTTCCAAGTGCTTCACCTCTGGTGAGGTTTGCTGCCATCCTTCAGCAGCTTTGTTCAGTCTTTAGCTAGCACCAAAGTGTGCTTCCATGCATGCATCTATAAAGGCTGCCAGCCTGCCATACACTGAACCTTCTGTCCTATCTGATGGATACAGAAATCAGAAGGCAGGGCGGAATGAGCTCTGCCAGGAGGTGTCATCAGAAGTGAGGGACCTGAACAAGACAGTTGCTTGGAGAGGGTTTTTAGGGAAGTGATCTGACAACTTTTGGGGCTGCAGAATTCAAATCTATATTTCTACAGGAACAACAATGTGAGCTCAAAATCCTGATTTTTTTTCCCCCTATGTGCATCTCTGAAAAAATATGATAAGTCTTGAAAGGGCATTGGAAGAATTGCTGTGATCAAAGTACTTGAATTCTATGAGAGGATGCAGAGTAATAGATGGGACTGCTGTAGAACAGAGGTATCTGCAGGCATTGCAGATGATTTCAGGAAAAGCTCCATGTGTGTGCATCAGCTATGTATACAGCAGTTTACAGCTTGCAGCAAATGCTGCATGCAGCCACTTAACAGAATCCTTTCCAACAATTTATTGCAAATAGGTTTTTGTTGGGGTCTTTTCAGAAGCATAATCCTTGGGAGCAAAGTTATGAGGTCTGTGTTTTTGTTTTTTCTTAGATCTCAAAATTTGGATTTAAAAACTGCTTGGGAATTTCTTACGAGGAGCTCTGCAGTGCCATATTGGATAAGGCGATATGAGCTTGGCTTTTCATACAGGTTTAGCCTCACAACATTCATTTTGTTCCATGTTGAAAATGAATGTCTGGGTTGTCAGTTTGTTGTGGCACTTCTAGATATCACAGTGACTTTAAAACAAACCAAGCCAAAGAGTGCAGCTGCAGCCTGCTTCCTGAGGGGCTGGAGCACTCTTCCTGCACAGCTGCCTAGCGTCAGTGTTCCATTTCTAGTGCAGATGCTCGTGGGTTGCTCATGGGAAAAGCCTGTCCTGAAGAACTCTGCTTTTTCCTTCCCTGATTTAGCAGGAACGATTTGTTCAGGTCTCTCTCAATAGTGTTTCCATTTTCCTCTTCTCTCAAAACTGTTACAGAAGTGGAAACTAAAGAGGGCTTTTTCTCTTGTTCAGTCTTCCATACCATTCGGTTATTAAAGTTCTGCTTTCTTACCTCCATCGGTGTTTTCTTCTAAAATTTAAAGCTTTTTGCATATGGATGAAAATTGACAGTGCTGAGGTTATCTGGGGCAGACCTGCTGGAGCTCAGGCACAGCAGCCAGCTGCCACGTTTGGTGGGAGCTGATGTTGGTCAGTGTGGCTGGAAAAAGCCCACTTGGTATTACAAAGGCCAAGGGCTCATGGATACCTGTGTAGAGGGGCTGGTTATTTTTTCCTTCTATCTGTCACTCCAAAATGCAAGAAGCTGCTGAATAACTCCCATTCCATCTGCCAAACCTGTGTCTGACACACAGGTGCTGTCTCTGCTGCAATCTCAAAGGTGTACATGTGTGTTTCAGTTGGTTTGTTGTTTTCTTTGTTTGTTTCTTTGGTTCTTTTTTTTTTTTTTTTTCCAGGTTTTTTTTTTTTTTTCAGCCCTTGCTGCGCTTTGATTATCTGAAAGCGTTAACTCCCAAATTGAGGAGTTACCAAGATTACAGCAGGTGGGGTGCATGCAAGGTCTGTAGCTGTTTCTGGGCCTGTTGTTACCTGCTACCGTGACTCCTTGTTCATAAGCCTCCTGTGGGTTGAAGTGTGCAGTACTGGAGAATTAACAGGCTGCTCCTTCTCCTGGTCACCACTCCTAGGCGCATCGCTGTTCTGAAGTGTCAGGCAGTGGCAGAAGCTGTGCTTGCATCTGCCTTGCTGGGTAGGCTTGGTTTGTGTTCAGGGAGAACACAGGCACTTAAAGGCTGCACAGGTGGGAGTTGTAAAACGTGTGCGTTCTCACCCATTTGCTGCCTAGTGGTGTGACACACACACAGCCCTGGGTTGGTGCTTACAGGTGTAATAGAACAGTTTTGTCACAAGTACAATTAGTGGGGATGGGTTTTGTGGATAGCTTCTCAAAAATAAATCTGTTCCCTCTGTTGCTTGCTTCCTTTTGTCATACAGATTTTTGATTCAGAATAGCATAGGTCTCCATCCTATTTAATCTAAGGAAGAATTTGGTGGCTGGTGGAATAGCTCCAACTTCTTCTTTTAGGTTCTGTAGTGTCCTTATTTCCCAAATAATATTAGTCATTTCTCTGGCATAACCACGTGTTTGGGCTTTTTGGTTTGCTGTTAACTTAGATGTCACGAATGGAGTCTAACATTTCATTTTCTAGCCTCTCCCCATTTAAAAAGGGGGATTGGTTTTTTTTTGATTACTTGTTCTTAGCACTCTTACTGATTCCTAAATTCACAGAAAATCACATTAACTCCTGCACTTGTGGCAGGGCTCCCAGAGCCTCGCAGTGCTGCACTGCTGGGAGGGGGGCAGGCTCTCTTCACTGGTTTGCAGCAATAGAACAAGGGGCAACAGGGGAAACTGGAACATCGGTTCCAGTACAAACATGAGGAATAACTTTCCTGTCAGTGACAGCACAGGAACAAGCTGCCCAGAGAGGTGGGGGAATCTCCTTCTGTGCAGATATTCCCAACCATGCTGGATGCCAAGCTATGCGACATGCTGTAGGGAACCTTCTCTAGCAGAGATGTTGGACTCCATCTCCAGAGCTTCCTTCCAACCCCTGCCATTCTGTGATCCCTGTGGATCCCCTCCAGCTTGAGTGTTCAATGAAGGTGAGCCCCATCTGCACCTTGCCCCCCAGTTTTGGCCACCTACCTCCCTCCCTCTCACCCCCCATATCAAGCTCTGCTTTCCAGTTTAGACCACCTGCACCTCCATTTCAGCTGTGCCCTCCAATTTTAGGAATACAGTCCCCCTGCATTCCTCCCAGTTTCCTCCCGGTGAGGGCCATCTGCCTCCCCCAGTGTAGCTGTGCCCACCCAGTTGGAGCCATCTGCCTCCCGCTGTGGGCATTGTCCCCGCAGGCCCCCCCCACACATTCACTTCGGAACTCCCCCTCCCCTCCAGCCATGGCCCTGTATCAAGGAAAATGTTTTTTCACAGTACAGCTGTTCCAGCGCAGTTTAATGTGGTCTTGATGCTGTTAGTAAAACCAAGGCAATTTCCCTTCTCAGAGGAAGAACACTGATCTCCTTGGGGCTGCCAGTGTAAGACGTGGTACAAAACTCCCTGGCTTCAGTTACAAACGTGTCCACCTAGGGACCCTGCTGCAGACACGTGCACTCCCGGGCCCTTTGGAGAAAGCCTTCCAGGTGCTCTCCTGTCCCCTTCGTCCCCACGGAGCTCCTGCTGCTGGAGGGAACGGTGTGATACCGGCTGAGACACGGGCTGCCGCACCGGGACTGCGCCCAGAGGCAGAGATCATCGCAGGAACCGCACTCGGGACAGCGCAGGCATCCCGGGCCTTGGGGAACGCTCCCGTTGCAGCCCCGATTGCTCTCAAAGCAGAGCTCCGGCTTCCTCACGGTTACGGATGACGAACGAGACGACGGCAGCGCTCTACTCGGGAGCGGCGCCACGGCTCTTCGCTCTCCACTCAGAGGCTTTCCGCCGTCGAGCTGCTTCTCGGCTCCCTTGCCGAGAGCTCCGCCGCCGCCGTTCCCAGCACCTTCCCCGCCGGGGCGGCACCACGCTGCGCTGGGAAGCCGACGGGAGCGGCGTGCGGAGAGCGACGGCCGGGCGCTGCGGACGGGACTCGGGCCGTCGGGATACGCTGCCAGCGGAGCTTCCGGGGGCGGCCGCCGCTCCTGCTCTTGCTCCCCACCCGTTCCCGTCAGCAGCGCCGGCGAAAGCCTTCTGCTGGCTTAAGGGCGGCTCCGGTCTTCTTAAAACCTGAACTGCTCGGGGGGAAAGGGGCCCCGACATGCAGAGGAAGCTCTGCTCTGCTCGCCCGTGTCTGATCTCACTTGTCCCTGCAGGCCCCCAAGGTCAACCGGCAGGGTGGAATCCTGTCCCTGAGCCTGGGCTGGATGCCAGAGGCAAGTCCCCACTCTTCATTGCCTTGATATTTGCTCAGACTTGGTGGTGGACCTGTGGTGGACGTCCATTGGGACAGCCCTTACGTTGCATGCTCGAAGCAGTGCGCTGCCGTGAGGACCCACTGCGGTGTGATGAGAGATCCTCCGTGAGAGATGATTCCTGTACCCACCTCCCACGGACCCGTGCAGAGCATCTGTGCCACTCATTTTTATAACCATCAGCCATGGGCCGGAGCCCGCAGGTGCTGCAAGCAGAAACACGTCAGCTTTTGCATCGGAACCGCCGTCCCTCCCCACAGGGCACCGCCGGGCCACTCACTCGCAGCCGCCGGAGAAGCCGTGCCCGGGCCGGCAGGCGCCCAGCAGCACCACGAGAGGCGGCAGCAGCACCACCGCTCCCGAAGGCGCGCAGCAGCCCATCGCGCCCGGCTTCGTCGCCGCCGGCGCTGCTGTCACAGAACCGTTGGTTCCGAGGTTTGTGATGCCGTGAGGGGGGGGTGCGGGCAGGAGCTGGAAGGGACCCCCGGCTGCCTTCTGCCGTAGCAGCGCCCTATGTCTTGTATGGATGGATGCGGAGCCACATGGTTGAGTGTGCAACCCAGGTTTGTGAATGACAGCAGCACGAATTTCAGGCTCTGTCCCAAAGGGAAACAGCTGCTCCTAAGGCCCTCGAGGCGTCACGCGCACCAGAAGCGGCTCTCAAACAAACCTTGCTGTGGTTTTGCGTGCTGTCCTGAAGGCGGTGCCCCAGATCTGCTGAGGGTGCACAGAATGCCTCAGAGGCAGTTTGCCTTGTGTGGGTATTCAGCTGTCCCCTTAGCGCTGTTCTCCGGGAGGTTAAGGGGAGTGGTGGGACGGATGAATGGCTCCGCGTGTGTCTGAGGGAGGGATGGGTGTCTTTGTGGAGACAGGAATGGAGCAGCGCCAGCAGTACTGAGGAAACTCAGTCATGGCCCCAGAGCACACGATGCCCTCAGCAAACAGCACCGATCTGCGCTGCAATGCAGCAAAACCCGGGAGCAAAGGGGAAAAGTTAAGTGGGGAGGGGAATACTTGGGAGGAGCCAAGCAAGATGAGTAAGTATTGAAAACAAAGAAAAGGGGCAAGATGGAGGCCGATACAGGAATCATGTACAAGCAAGCTGCACGTTGGTTTGTTTGCTTGTTTTATTGGGCCCTGCATCCAATCACTGGAATCCACCTTAATATTTTGTTAAGAATTATTCTACACAGAACTCCAGAGCTGGGGGGCTGGAAGGGAACTGCAGGCAGCTCCAGCATCCACAGACCTTACAGAAGGATGAGGCCAGCCACATCTCCACCTTATTTAGGAGGATAGGGGAGTGGTGACAGACAAGGGGAAGTGGCCTCAAGTTGTGCCAGGGAGGTTTAGGTTGGATCTCAGGAAAAACTTCACTACAGAAAGGGTAGTGAAGGGTTGTTTTTAAACACATCCAGGGACAGTGACTCAACCACGTCCATGGGCAGCCCATTGCAGTGCTTATATATGGAGTTACAGGGCACAGAACTGGGGCCAGCACTTGGTGCAAGGCAAGCAATCAGAGAGCCGCACGCCAGGGAGGGCCTCCTCTGGCCCAGCCTCAGCTGGCTTGTCTGACCGGGACGGTCACCCAAGCTCCCACCAGAGCAGGGAAGTGCTGGGGAGACTTGATACGTGGAGGACTGTCCTTGAGCTCTTGTTCAGAGCTTCTGCCCTGGCAGTGTATATTTGCATTTAGGATGCGTGTCCAGTTCTGGGCTCTCCAGTTCAAAAGAGACACGGATCTCCTAGAAGGAGTCTGGCAGAGGGCCACAAAGATGACGAAGGACCTGGAGCACATCCCTGATGAGGAAAGGCTGAGTAAGCTGGGTCTGTGCAGCCTGGGGAAAAGAAGACTGAGGGGAGATCTGATCTGTGTTAATTAACACCTAAAGGGAGGTGGGAGGCAAATGATGAGGCCAGGCTCTTCTTGGTGGTGTGTTGCAATAGGACAAGGAGCGTTGGCCCAAAACCTGAACGCAGGAAATTCCATACAGGTAGGCCTGTAGGCCTGGGTGCCTACCTGTGCGACCTATTGTAGGGAACCTGCTTTAGCAGGGGGGTTGGACTCACGGATCTCTTGAGGTCCCTTCCAACCCCTGCGATTCTGTGATGCTGTGACATCAAGAGCTATTGTCTGGGTGGTCTACAGCTTCCTCACAAAGGGAAGGAGGGAAGAAGACACTGATCGCTTCTCTCTGGAGAGACTCTGCTGGAGGTGGCAGCAGCGTGATTCCTTCAGTGCAAGGTGGCAGGAGTGCAGCTGCTGCCGCAGTTTCCAGAGACCCAGGCGGGACCCTGCAGGCGATGGCCGTCAGAGCCTCTCGCCACCAAGCGTCCGGCTGCCAGCAGTGGGTGAGCTCACTTGGACGTTGCGGCCGGGAGGTGCTAACCGGCGAGTCTTACATTTCCACTACTAAATTCGGTATGGAAGCACACTAACAATGGGAAATACGCCTGGTGTAGGAAAGGGGATGTCCTTAGCCGAGGTATGGAAAACTGAAAGAGAACAGGTGAAGCTGCAGATGTACCGATAAGAGTGTGAGCACGTGACGCTGGACTTGGCAGGTTTGCGGGAGGGTCTAGCTGCCCGTGTTCATATTTCAGCCATCAGCCTTTGTACCAGAGAGGCTTTATGTGCTTGGCTTGCTGCACTGCAGCACGTTTCACGTGCGTGGGTAACCTGTGCAAAAGCGCCCTGGATCCAGACCCGGTTTCTATATCACATCTTGTCCTCGGTGGCCTGAGGTGTCAGGAGCACACCGAGCTGGAAAGCATTCCCTCTCAGGGTTGTGGAGGCACTATAGAAGTTTGCCACGCGAAGTTGTGCATGCCCTGTCCCTGGAAGCATTCAAGGGCAGACTGGAGGGAGCTCTGGGCAGGCTGACTCAGCTGGTGGCATCCCTGCCCTTGGCAGTGGGGTTGGAGGTAAAAGTTCTTAGTCGTCCCTTCCTACCCCAGCCATTCCGTGATTCCGTGTTTCTATGATGTAAGCACCGGTCCCAGCAGCCCTGGTGCAGCGCATCACAAGAGGGACGGGGAGCCTCCACCCGGCTTCCCAAGGCCGTGAGGTCACAATGCCCCACTGTGATGCTGTCCCTGGGCACAGGCCTTGCTCTGCGCCTGCCCCAAGTGCAACACTTGCTGTGGCGGCAGTGGTGGTGGTGGCAGCATGGCACGTGTGTGGGGGGCCACGGCCCCTGCCCGCCTTGTCGTGCTCCTCCTACTGATGGCGCTGCGTTCCCGCGAGATTTGTGCTGCTCCGCTTCGAGCACTGGCAGCAGGTGAGTGGGCAGAGACGGGACCAAAACTGGGAAAACGGGGGGCCTGAAGTCACCCTTCCCTGGGGCCACCTTCCGGGTTGGACGTTAGGCAGACGGTGACGGGCAGCACCGCAGGAGCCGGGCAAGAGCCTGTGGCAGCGCTGTTCCCCAGGGCTGGCTCCAGCCGTGCCGGGCCGCGGCTCTGCCGCTTGCTGGCTGGAGCACAGCCTTCATCCTGGGTGATGTCCAGGGGTGATGTCCTCTGTGTGCTGGGAAAAGCGTGAGCATTTCTGCTCCGGCCTCGTGGTACGCCCCTAGACGAATCCCAGTTTCCAACACAGAGCCCCGACCGCAGCCCAGAGCAAGACACAGGTGTGTTTTCCTCCGGTGCTTCGGTGTGACCTTCCTTTGTGTACACCAGAGGCGTCCCAGGAAGACAGGCCCCAGGGGCAGCTGCTTCTTCCCTGCGGTCCGTAAGGGTTGTTGCGCGTGGCGTGGAGAGCGCATTGTGGAAGCTGCCAGGTGGCAGCCCGGAGGTCCTCCCGGCCGCTCTGCAACTGTGACATCGTGACCTGAGTCTTTCTCCCGCCCCGTCACCTGACCCACCTCCAGTTTCTAAGGGAGAAGAAGATCACAACATCCCCAGCAATGGGAACGTCTCTCATCAGTTCTTGATTCTTGGTTCTAGATGCTGACATTGGTGGTGGTGAATCGACCTATTCAGACATTAGTCTGAATCCAGGTCTTATGCCTTGGGATCAACCCAGAGGTAGGTTCTGAGTGCCTGTTTCCAAGAAGGCAGACAAATTTGTGCCCCAGTAGCATACAGTGTCATTTCAGATCCTCTCAAGGTCTTCCTAACCTGCTTGTACCTTGGAGGTCTTGCACAGATCAGTCATGAGTAGTTTGTTACTGGGAGAGCGGCCACATTTCAGTGGGAAGGTTACCCCTGCCTCTCTCCAGTTGTGAGAACGCAGACCACCTTCTTTGCGCCACGTCAATCCCTGACCCGCCACCACACCCTGCGGGTCACTGAGGAAAAAGTAGCCCCGAGATGCAGAGGAAGCTCTGCTCTGCTCACCCGTGTCTGATCTCACTTGTCCCTGCAGGCCCTCAAGGACAACCGGCAGAGTGGAATCCTGTCCCTGAGCCTGGGCTGGACGCCAGAGGCAAGTCCCCACTCTTCATTGCCTTGATATTTGCTCAGACTTGGTGGTGATAGCTCAGCAAGCTTTCGGCTCTTCACCGGCCAGCGTGACAGTGCTGGGTGAAATGCATGGAGTCCACTGATTCCTGGGTGCTGCATGCTCCCACTGCTGCCTTTGTCTCTCTGACTCCGAGGTCTCCCAGTCAGAAAGCCTCAAGGGGCTGAATTTTGTTCATGAGGTCTCGGAGGGCTCTTTCACGTGGCCTGGAGAAAGTATTTTGAAAGCTGCTGAATGCCAGCCAGCAAGGTCCCCTGGCCCCTCTGCAACTTGGGAGCTTTTGTCCTGCGTGTGGCTCGCGTGTCACTACCTGAGCCCCTTGTAGTCACTGTAGGTTCTAAGGAAGAGAGAGGTGGCCACGTGCAATGGGAACGTTTCTCATCTGCCCTTGACGACAGCTGTGTCCGTAGGCAGTGGCTTGTGGAAGCCTCATCTTAATCTGCTCTGTTGTAACCTTCACCTGTTTGTTTTTTCTGGGAGACCGCAGCTTGGCCAATTACCGAGGTGACACCAATATGGTGAACAGCAAAATGGTGCTTTAATGGAACGAACACGTGCTTATATATGGAGGGGAGGTCCTAATGCGTTACAACCCGAAGATGGCGCAAGCGCCTAATACAACATTTCCCCCTCCCCATGCCAAGAGAAGCCTTGCCCCGTTACAATACGCAATGTGCTAAACCTAAACAACATACATCTTAGAACTTATCCTGCATTCTACAATATTCCAATTGCGTGTAGATCATTTTCTCAGTCATTCGTTGTATACAACCTCGCAAACATCGAAAGATACATGGCAAACACAACATTAATCCCAAAAATATGAACAACCTATCAGTAGAAAAATTCAAAGGTACCCCTGTAAGGCACGTGCGGAATGGTGAAGTGGCTGATTGCATGCTTAGGCAGAAATCCGTCCTCCCTGTTTGGCGAGCCCAAGTAACCCACAAATTCCCAGGCTGCTGGATCAAGTGAGTACCTCCCACCGGCAACCAACACAGACAAAAGAGGCACAACGACATTAGCACAGTAATTCTCGTTGGCAGCAAGGGTCCCTTTTCCAGGTCCTTTTCCTTCATGTGGCTGTCCTTTGGTTCCGGGTCCTTCAAGTGCCCGATCAACATAGCCTGTAACAAGATACTCAATTCTTGATTATTACCTCAGTAGCTTTAACATCACCAACCTCCGGCTTGATCTTCCTTGAGGGTACCCATCAAATGTCCCCCGTTTCTTTGTTTTTTATTGCCGCATAACCTCTGCCCCATACTGATATGGACCACCCCGCTTCCCAAGAACCATTTTCCATTTTAACCTTAACTGGTGGGCCCTCCTCAATTTTCGGCTGCCAATGTTTCTGTATAGGGGTCCTTATGCTTTCCCCCGCTCAAAATGATTTAACGCATACAATGCACGAGCCAAGATTTCTCCTTGAAGTGATATTGGGATCTTCCCTGTGTATCCCTCCCCCTCCCCAAGGACACGAATCTTTTCCTTGAGGAGGCGGTTAGCCCTTTCTACAATGGCTTGACCTTGCGAATTACCCGGGATTCCTGTACTATGTGTGATGTTCCAGCTGGCCAGCCACTCTTTAGATGACCGCGAAACAAAGCAAGAGCCATTATCTGTTTTTATGTGGTGCGGCATTCCCAAGACCGCGATGGCCGTGGCCCAGTGATGCTGAGCCGCCGCAGAGCTAGTGCGCCCATGTTGTGTAGCAACAATGACGTTAGAGGATGTATCAATTGTTATAGCAAGCCATGCTCGTGGGGCCATTCGTGGTTCCATCGTAAAATCTGTCTGCCAGACGTCCAATGGGGCGAGACCACGGGGATTAATTCATGCCCCGAGCGCTGGTGCAGAATTGCAGTGCGGGCAAGTTTGCACAACTTCCCTAGCAACAGTGACAGGAATGGAGCAAGTCCGAGCTAACGCTCTAGCCCCTATATGTAATGCAGAATGAAGATCACGAGCTTCCCGCAAAGTAAATACTTGGCCCCCCGCTAAACGATCCGCTATATCATTCCCCATAGTGAAAAACCCTCGAACATCAGAATGGCTACGGACATGGAGGATGGCGACAGGCGCAGATCTGGCCACCAAAGCATCCTCCAACAAAGCTGCAGTTGTCGTATTCGGCTGTCCCTCCTTTCCCATGCGTAATAGCAACCTAGCTACGAATGCCGAATCAGTAATGATGTTACGGGGAGTCTGGGGCCAGATGCATAGTGCCACTGCCACCGCTCTGGCTTCCAGCATCTGAACGCTCACCGAGCCATCAGTTATCAACTTAGACTCCCACTTGCCACCCGGTACTTGCCAAACAGCTACTCCCTGGCCAGTCGCCGAAGAGGTATCAGTGAATATTGTCGGGCCATCTATGGGGGTGTCCAACACTCTGTGCCTTAGGGATATCTGAAGAGGTCTCGCCAGATCGAAAATTGGTAGTACATCAGTGTAACTAAGCTTACCACTGAAATCATGCACCGCCAAGGAGATCTCATTCGGCAAAGGCTGAGCATTTTGAAAAGCCCCCGGTAGGTACACAATATCCAGGTCCTTTGCAAAAGCTCTTACCGCCGTGAGGCGAGCCTTTCGGAGCAGAGAGGACAATTGCTCCAACCACAGAGTAAACGCCCTCACCGGCTGGGCGGAGAACAGCCAACCCAATGGAAGGGCTGCCAACTCCCCTGCTCTAAGTGCTGTTGCTTGGCCCTCTGGGGACCCTACCATACCCTCCGCTAGGCCCTGGAGACGCGCAAGATTAGTCCTGTCATTCCGGCCCTGGCCATTCGCTGGATGGCGGTGGTCACGAGTGGCAGTGGCCACCACAACCTGAAGCAGCCTATTCCACTCATCATACCACAGGGTGTATTGTACAGGTTCAAGGATGACACGCATAAGATTGACCACATCATATGGCAGGAGGCTAGAAGCCATAAGAGCTTCTACTGCCTACATGGTCACAGGAGAGCGCAGACCTTTACTTTTAACCAAATCCGCAAGGCGAGTAATTGCCTTGGAGTCCAGAGGGGTCCAAGCTGGATCCTCTGTTTTTACTACTACAGGGAGGGCAAATGCCGTAGCTGTCGGATCTGCCGTTCGTAAACCCTCCCTCGCCCTAGCGCAGTCAGTGAGTGCAGGTGGGGCCCATGAGGCAGTCACTGCAGGATCCCGCCCTCCCTGGGTGAATCCCGAGGCTGCTCGCACCGGGACGCCACACCCACATCCTTCACAAGATGGAGTGGAACATTGCAGCCCCTTTTGGGAGCGGCCGCGGCAACAAACAGAGTCAGGCAGCGAGGAAGCACCGCCCCCGCTCTCACATTTCACCAGCCGCGCCGTACCCTCTCCGGCCAGCTCGCCCTCCCCCACTGCCCTCTTAACAGGTGTAGAACAAGCTATGTTACATTCCTCCGCACCTCCCCTTCCCCCCTCATCCCTGAAGGGTTTCAACGAAGGCTATAAACCCTGAGCTGGATAAGGAGGCGGGGATGGAGCCTCTTCGTCCCTGCGGTCCGACGATCCCTGCCGGACTTCCTCCCTTCTTGGTGTCGAAGCTGCCGCCTCGGGCGGGGCTGCGGGGACCGGCCCCGACTTGCCCTCCAGCAAACCTGCAGCAGAGACAAGATCTCCCCCCTCCCCAGCCCTAACAGCTCCCTAGCTCGATCACTCGCCATTTTCTCCTCCCTCGCCATCTTAAACGCCCCCAAAATCAATCCCCACACCTTGAACTCTGCCGCCTTTTGGGTAGTCGTTGCCCTCTTAGAGAGCGCGGCAGTGAACCCATCCCAATTAGCGGGATCGTATAAGTCAGAGGGAGACGCCAATAAGCCCTCCCCCTCCAGCAGCGAAAGAACCGCTGCAACCTCCTTCTTAGAAGGAACACTTCTTGCACAATAGGTCTTACATGCGCGAAGAATCACCTTGATAACGGCTTCCATCGCCCCAGGCTAAGCGCGCGTCTAGCCTTCACCGGGCGCTTCCCCGAGCTTCTCGGGGGATCCTGGCTCTTTTTCCCGAGCCTCCCGCCTGACAAGGAGTAATGCGCACTCCTCCCCGTCCCCGGGCTTCCACTACTCCGCGGGTTTTATAACGTACCCGCTCCGCAATGGGATCCTGCGCCGCTGGCAGAACAGCTGACTCACCCCCAGAAATCACGTCGGGATCACCATTTGTTGTAACCTTCACCTGTTCGTTTTTTCTGGGAGACCGCAGCTTGGCCAATTACCGAGGTGACACCAATATGGTGAACAGCAAAATGGCGCTTTAATGGAACGAACACGTGCGGGAGAGGTCCTAACGCGTTACAACCCGAAGATGGCGCAAGCGCCTAATGCAACACTGCTCCATGAGACTCAGGGCAATCCCCCAGCTAAGTCGCTGGAAGGAAAGGGTCTGTAGGTGTTCCCCTTCCCCATTCCCTTTCCCTGTGCAGTTCCACTTTCAATAGCACGGCGCCACTGCAGGCACCCAGCAACTGTTTTCAAGGTGCTCCTGCGTTGAAGAGAGAGAAGAGGGTTGCAAAGTAGCCCCCTGTCACTCCCATCTGAAGAAGTATGTGGGCAGGTTTGACGGCAGCTGCTCTGTCCTGTGTGTCTTTACAGATGTGGATGGCGGAGAATGGGATCCAGCTTCCCAGCTGGGTTCCAGGCCAGAAGGTCCGGCGGATCTCATGGGTATGTCATGGCTTTTTACTTCCTTTGAGAGCTGCCAGCTCAGAGCTCTAATGTCAGCCAGGCACGTCTGAAGGTATGAGAATCCAGACGTGCCTTTGCGTGCCCTGTCACCGCATGATTCCCCGATAGCACCTGCCCCTCAGTGACGCCATCATGCAGCTGTAATACGTAGATTGCAGTGTATGGTGGAAAGTTCTCGTGGTTCTTTGGTTGCAGACGTGGCTCCGCAGAGGGCGTTGCCAGATCCTCGACTGGCGTCCCGCTGGCATCCCAGAGGTGGGTAGTCTGCCTTCATTGACTTCACCAGAAAGAGCACTCACATCAGAAATGGGTTTGCCTGAAATTTATCTTAAAACTTTCCATGAAGGTCCTGAGACATGGAATGAGGAACTGAAGACGGGAAAATATTCCCCTGTCCTCAAGGAAATGAAGGAGGATTTGGAGAAGGCAGTCCCTGGTGCGTATATTTCCATCTGTTCACCAAAAGGCTTGGGAAGCTGAGGTTCTACGTGTATTCGTGGAGAAACTGTAGCATGCATAGCAGGAAGGGACGGGCCAGAGCCTTGCTGTGGTGCTGCTCCTGTGTCTGAACCGGCTGCAGCTTTTGCCCGTTCCCTTTGAAAGAAGGCATTTAGCATCACCTTGCAGCTTGTCAGAAACGCACAGCGTGCACTGTGAACAACAAACTCACCTGCAACCTGCCGGTCTCCCAGCAGGCCAGGTTTTGCTGTCCGTGCAACAGAACTGGAAGCGTGTAGCATTTTTTTTTCCAGTGAATGACACTTTCAGACTGGTGACGAGGCGCACCGCAAAAAGCCCAGGCTTTGTTTCTAAACTTTCTTGCTGTACCTTGCCTCCTGAAGATACTATCAGCCTGATGAGGAGCACTTACTTACAGTCCCATGCTCCTGCCTTCTTTCGAGAGAGGCAGACAGAGAGCCTGTGCAGATGGGGAAGGCAGCAGTCTCACGCTGCCCATCTCTCGGAAAGAAACAGAGGACACACAAGCAACTGGTCATGCAGTTAAAGGTCTCTCACAGTGCTCTGTGTCTGTGGTTACATGTTGTACAGCTCCCACTGCACCCAGTTCCCAGGAACTTGTTGCATGAGGCACAAGGCGTGACAGAAGCCTAGAGCGGGATCCCTCCTGTGAGCCGAGGCGCGGGGGGATACACTGACCCACAGAGATGGGGCACTGGCATTGAGGGATCCTTCTGCTCCTTCTCATGGATAGGTCGCCGAAAGGGAGGAGCATTCCGGTTTTAGTTTTCTTTCCAAGTGAATTGTGACTTCACAGTTCCTTTGCAGAAGGGAAGGGAAGGGAGGTTATGGGTCAGGCTGGGTGATGTACGTGAAGTGCCGTGCCTTGCAAAGCTGTCTTTGCCGGCCACTCCAGCCGTGAGCTGCTCCCAGTGCCTTCTGCCATGGTGCAGTTGAGTTTAGAGCTGGCGTGAGCTCCAGGAGGACGTTCCTCTGGGTAGCTCCACGCACTGTTAGATTTGTACAATCGTGGTTCCCCACGTGGGCACCCAGGATCTGCTTCCAAGCTGCTTCTGTGTGGGAGAGAACAGCGTCGTGAAGGAATCTCCTGTTTTAATCGCATGCTCTGCCATTCTGACTGGCAGAACGTCTGAGTTGCTCTGTCCTGTGCTTGTTTGCAGGTGTGACTGGAAGTGAAGGTCATCCAGCTTCCCCGCCGAGTTCCAGGACTGAAGCTCTGTCAGATCACACGGGTATGCCATGGCTTTTAGTTCCTGTGCGAGCTGCCAGCTCAAAGGCCGAATGTCGGCCAGGTCTCTCGGCAGGTGTGAGGGCAAAGTGCTGCGTGTGTGTGCCCTTTCCTTGCACGATCCCCCGGTATGCTCCACTGTGCTCCACAGCGATGCCGTCGTGTACGGAAACTTTTCACGGCTCTTTGGTTGCAGAAGTGCCCCCAGGGAGGGCTTTGCGTGTCCTTGGCACGGGAGATTTAATTTCATGCATTCTGTGCAGGTCCGGAAAGAGGAAAGGGTGCATCGAGAGGAGGGTATTACGCCTGGTGGTCGTCCCGTGTCCAAAGGAAACCCGTGATGAAAATAGGGGAGGCAGTGCATGGCGGAACTAAAGGGACTGACCAAGAGACTGTGCAGAAGAAGCCGTTGCAGGAAGGCAGCAGTGACACGCAGCCAGTCTCTGACCGAAATGCTCAGGCAGAACAAGCAGCTGCTTTGCCAGGTAATTTCAGTCCCGTGGTCATCCGATGTCCCCAGCCAGAATCACTGCGTGCCACCAGGCTCTCCCTGCCTGCTCTTGCACAGCAGGCCAGCAGCCAAACCTGAGCGTGTTCCTACAGAGCACATGCTACAAAGGAGCCCGAGGGCCATGAGCCCTGCCTGGTAGGAGCCTGCAGGAGTGTTTCTCCACTGGGCTGTCTCCAGCTGTGCCTTGTGCTGGCTGGAGGCTGACCTTCAGCCTGGGGAATGTCCTGGGGGAGAGCTCCGGACATGAAATGTGGGGAAAGTGTGAGGGTTTCTGCTCTGCAGTGCTGCCCACGGACAAAGCCCAGACCCCAGGGCAGAGCCCTGCCCTCAGCCCAGAGGAACAGATGGGCAGTGCCGGTGCAGCCTCTCCCTACCCAACGGGAAGTGGAAGCAATCCTTCTTGTCCTCTGGTGCTTATACACCGGAGACGGAGGTACCCACTGATGAAAAAGGAAATCTCTTGGCTCCGTGAAGCGCGCTGTGAGATCATCTGCATTGCAGATGACAGTAACCTGCGGCACTGTCTCGGTTCTTGCAGGGGTGGACGTAGGGAAAATCACAAAGGCTGCTGTTGGCAAGGAGCTGCAAAAACGCCACATCCCAGTGGTTGCTGTGGTCTCAGCTGCGCTGCTGTCCGTGCTGACCCTGGCCTGCATTCCTATGCTATGGATGTGGAAAAAATACCTGTGAGTTGACTTTTCCCCAAGACACTATCGCTGCATTTGGCTACAAAGCATTTGTGGTGACAGGATCCTGATGGCCAAATCAGCTGCTGGCAGTACACTGCCGGCATTTATGTTGCAAGGCCTTTCAAGCGTCCCTCGATTCCTATCGGTGAGCAGTGCTTTCTGAAACTCATTCCCACAGGGCGCGCAAGAGAGAACGGGCAGCTGCAGGACAAGCTCCTCCTGACACCGACTGCGAGAGAGATCAGAACACAAGCGAAGGCCAAGCAGAGCTGGAGGAGGCTGCAGAGCAGGATGCACTTGACCAAAGAAACAACCTTTCCATCCCATTATGGTGGTCCTCCAATGCAGAATTTGCCGAGCTGTGCAGCGGAATCAGCACAGACCCCTCCCTTCAGCCCGCATGGCCCAGCAGCTCTCCCGCTGACAACATCTCTTCCGTTCATACTTGCAGTCCTTAGGACTCCCCTGAGCCATCCAGTGCCCCTGTTACCGGTGCTGAGGGCTCAGGTTCATTTCCATCAAGTTCCATCTTTATGATCAATAAAAACATCCTATTCCAAAGCTGCTGCTGTGACCATTTCCATTGGGTTACAGGGCACGGGTCTGGGGCCAGCACTTGGGAAAGCATTCCCTCTCAGGATTGTGGAGGCACTATAGAAGTTTGCCACACAAAGTTGTGGATGCCCTGTCCCTGGACGCGTTTAAGGCCAGGCTAGAGGGAGCTCTGGAAAGGCCGACTCAGCGGGTGGCATCCCTGCCCTCGGCAGTAGGGTTGGAGGTAAAAGTTCTTAGATGTCCCTTCCTACCCCAGCCATTCCATGACTCCGTGTTTCTATGATGTAGGCATCGGCCCCAGCAGCCCTGGTGCAGCGCATCACAAGAGGGGCGAGGAGCCTCCACCCGGCTTCCCAGGGCCGTGAGGCCACAACGCCCCGCTGTGATGCCATCCCTGGACACAGGCATTGCTCTGAGTGCTGAGAGACTGCCTGAGAGAGCGCACTTTGGGTTCGGCTCCTCACAGCTGAGGAGATGCAGCAGCCGCCTGCTGTGCCTTCCCCGTGCTCACAGGAAGGCTGGAGCCGGGAAGGACTCTGCGCCTGGGGCAGGACAACGCTGGGTACATGTAGGACTGGGGGAGAGGGGCTGCAGAAGAGCTCTGTGGAGAGGCACCTGGGGCTTCTGGTTGGTGACATGTTGAATGTGGGTCAACCGCATGCCCTGGTAAAGCAGTGGGTAATGCAGGCTGACCGTACCCTGCTGGGCAAAAGGCACGGCACTGCTAGCTGATGTAGAGAAGGATTATCTTGCTTGGCCCTGTGCTGGACGGCCTCAGCTCAATTGCCGTGTGCAGTTTTGGGTGCCACAATACAGGAAAGACTGAAAACTTGAGGGAATGCCCAGCGGAGGGCATCAGAGATGCTGGTAGTCAGCAGCGCCGGCGAAAGCCTTCTGCTGGCTTAAGGGCGGCTCCGGTCTTCTTAAAACCTGAACTGCTCGGGGGGAAAGGGGCCCCGACATGCAGAGGAAGCTCTGCTCTGCTCGCCCGTGTCTGATCTCACTTGTCCCTGCAGGCCCCCAAGGTCAACCGGCAGGGTGGAATCCTGTCCCTGAGCCTGGGCTGGATGCCAGAGGCAAGTCCCCACTCTTCATTGCCTTGATATTTGCTCAGACTTGGTGGTGGACCTGTGGTGGACGTCCATTGGGACAGCCCTTACGTTGCATGCTCGAAGCAGTGCGCTGCCGTGAGGACCCACTGCGGTGTGATGAGAGATCCTCCGTGAGAGATGATTCCTGTACCCACCTCCCACGGACCCGTGCAGAGCATCTGTGCCACTCATTTTTATAACCATCAGCCATGGGCCGGAGCCCGCAGGTGCTGCAAGCAGAAACACGTCAGCTTTTGCATCGGAACCGCCGTCCCTCCCCACAGGGCACCGCCGGGCCACTCACTCGCAGCCGCCGGAGAAGCCGTGCCCGGGCCGGCAGGCGCCCAGCAGCACCACGAGAGGCGGCAGCAGCACCACCGCTCCCGAAGGCGCGCAGCAGCCCATCGCGCCCGGCTTCGTCGCCGCCGGCGCTGCTGTCACAGAACCGTTGGTTCCGAGGTTTGTGATGCCGTGAGGGGGGGGTGCGGGCAGGAGCTGGAAGGGACCCCCGGCTGCCTTCTGCCGTAGCAGCGCCCTATGTCTTGTATGGATGGATGCGGAGCCACATGGTTGAGTGTGCAACCCAGGTTTGTGAATGACAGCAGCACGAATTTCAGGCTCTGTCCCAAAGGGAAACAGCTGCTCCTAAGGCCCTCGAGGCGTCACGCGCACCAGAAGCGGCTCTCAAACAAACCTTGCTGTGGTTTTGCGTGCTGTCCTGAAGGCGGTGCCCCAGATCTGCTGAGGGTGCACAGAATGCCTCAGAGGCAGTTTGCCTTGTGTGGGTATTCAGCTGTCCCCTTAGCGCTGTTCTCCGGGAGGTTAAGGGGAGTGGTGGGACGGATGAATGGCTCCGCGTGTGTCTGAGGGAGGGATGGGTGTCTTTGTGGAGACAGGAATGGAGCAGCGCCAGCAGTACTGAGGAAACTCAGTCATGGCCCCAGAGCACACGATGCCCTCAGCAAACAGCACCGATCTGCGCTGCAATGCAGCAAAACCCGGGAGCAAAGGGGAAAAGTTAAGTGGGGAGGGGAATACTTGGGAGGAGCCAAGCAAGATGAGTAAGTATTGAAAACAAAGAAAAGGGGCAAGATGGAGGCCGATACAGGAATCATGTACAAGCAAGCTGCACGTTGGTTTGTTTGCTTGTTTTATTGGGCCCTGCATCCAATCACTGGAATCCACCTTAATATTTTGTTAAGAATTATTCTACACAGAACTCCAGAGCTGGGGGGCTGGAAGGGAACTGCAGGCAGCTCCAGCATCCACAGACCTTACAGAAGGATGAGGCCAGCCACATCTCCACCTTATTTAGGAGGATAGGGGAGTGGTGACAGACAAGGGGAAGTGGCCTCAAGTTGTGCCAGGGAGGTTTAGGTTGGATCTCAGGAAAAACTTCACTACAGAAAGGGTAGTGAAGGGTTGTTTTTAAACACATCCAGGGACAGTGACTCAACCACGTCCATGGGCAGCCCATTGCAGTGCTTATATATGGAGTTACAGGGCACAGAACTGGGGCCAGCACTTGGTGCAAGGCAAGCAATCAGAGAGCCGCACGCCAGGGAGGGCCTCCTCTGGCCCAGCCTCAGCTGGCTTGTCTGACCGGGACGGTCACCCAAGCTCCCACCAGAGCAGGGAAGTGCTGGGGAGACTTGATACGTGGAGGACTGTCCTTGAGCTCTTGTTCAGAGCTTCTGCCCTGGCAGTGTATATTTGCATTTAGGATGCGTGTCCAGTTCTGGGCTCTCCAGTTCAAAAGAGACACGGATCTCCTAGAAGGAGTCTGGCAGAGGGCCACAAAGATGACGAAGGACCTGGAGCACATCCCTGATGAGGAAAGGCTGAGTAAGCTGGGTCTGTGCAGCCTGGGGAAAAGAAGACTGAGGGGAGATCTGATCTGTGTTAATTAACACCTAAAGGGAGGTGGGAGGCAAATGATGAGGCCAGGCTCTTCTTGGTGGTGTGTTGCAATAGGACAAGGAGCGTTGGCCCAAAACCTGAACGCAGGAAATTCCATACAGGTAGGCCTGTAGGCCTGGGTGCCTACCTGTGCGACCTATTGTAGGGAACCTGCTTTAGCAGGGGGGTTGGACTCACGGATCTCTTGAGGTCCCTTCCAACCCCTGCGATTCTGTGATGCTGTGACATCAAGAGCTATTGTCTGGGTGGTCTACAGCTTCCTCACAAAGGGAAGGAGGGAAGAAGACACTGATCACTTCTCTCTGGAGAGACTCTGCTGGAGGTGGCAGCAGCGTGATTCCTTCAGTGCAAGGTGGCAGGAGTGCAGCTGCTGCCGCAGTTTCCAGAGACCCAGGCGGGACCCTGCAGGCGATGGCCGTCAGAGCCTCTCGCCACCAAGCGTCCGGCTGCCAGCAGTGGGTGAGCTCACTTGGACGTTGCGGCCGGGAGGTGCTAACCGGCGAGTCTTACATTTCCACTACTAAATTCGGTATGGAAGCACACTAACAATGGGAAATACGCCTGGTGTAGGAAAGGGGATGTCCTTAGCCGAGGTATGGAAAACTGAAAGAGAACAGGTGAAGCTGCAGATGTACCGATAAGAGTGTGAGCACGTGACGCTGGACTTGGCAGGTTTGCGGGAGGGTCTAGCTGCCCGTGTTCATATTTCAGCCATCAGCCTTTGTACCAGAGAGGCTTTATGTGCTTGGCTTGCTGCACTGCAGCACGTTTCACGTGCGTGGGTAACCTGTGCAAAAGCGCCCTGGATCCAGACCCGGTTTCTATATCACATCTTGTCCTCGGTGGCCTGAGGTGTCAGGAGCACACCGAGCTGGAAAGCATTCCCTCTCAGGGTTGTGGAGGCACTATAGAAGTTTGCCACGCGAAGTTGTGCATGCCCTGTCCCTGGAAGCATTCAAGGGCAGACTGGAGGGAGCTCTGGGCAGGCTGACTCAGCGGGTGGCATCCCTGCCCTTGGCAGTGGGGTTGGAGGTAAAAGTTCTTAGTCGTCCCTTCCTACCCCAGCCATTCCGTGATTCCGTGTTTCTATGATGTAAGCACCGGTCCCAGCAGCCCTGGTGCAGCGCATCACAAGAGGGACGGGGAGCTTCCACCCGGCTTCCCAAGGCCGTGAGGTCACAATGCCCCACTGTGATGCTGTCCCTGGGCACAGGCCTTGCTCTGCGCCTGCCCCAAGTGCAACACTTGCTGTGGCGGCAGTGGTGGTGGTGGCAGCATGGCACGAGTGTGGGGGGCCACGGCCCCTGCCCGCCTTGTCGTGCTCCTCCTACTGATGGCGCTGCGTTCCCGCGAGATTTGTGCTGCTCCGCTTCGAGCACTGGCAGCAGGTGAGTGGGCAGAGACGGGGCCAACACTGGGAAAACGGGGGGCCTGAAGTCACCCTTCCCTGGGGCCACCTTCCGGGTTGGACGTTAGGCAGACGGTGACGGGCAGCACCGCAGGAGCCGGGCAAGAGCCTGTGGCAGCGCTGTTCCCCAGGGCTGGCTCCAGCCGTGCCGGGCCGCGGCTCTGCCGCTTGCTGGCTGGAGCACAGCCTTCATCCTGGGTGATGTCCAGGGGTGATGTCCTCTGTGTGCTGGGAAAAACGTGAGCATTTCTGCTCCGGCCTCGTGGTACGCCCCTAGACGAATCCCAGTTTCCAACACAGAGCCCCGACCGCAGCCCAGAGCAAGACACAGGTGTGTTTTCCTCCGGTGCTTCGGTGTGACCTTCCTTTGTGTACACCAGAGGCGTCCCAGGAAGACAGGCCCCAGGGGCAGCTGCTTCTTCCCTGCGGTCCGTAAGGGTTGTTGCGCGTGGCGTGGAGAGCGCATTGTGGAAGCTGCCAGGTGGCAGCCAGGAGGTCCTCCCGGCCGCTCTGCAACTGTGACATCGTGACCTGAGTCTTTCTCCCGCCCCGTCACCTGACCCACCTCCAGTTTCTAAGGGAGAAGA